ACCAATTTATTGCACCGCCTTGAGTTATGAGTGCCCTGACTCACAAGTTTTTCGACTCGGGCGCGGTCGCTGAGTTGTTTTGCCTTTTTTGCTTTGCGTCGTCAAATACAAAATGAAGGCACTCGCAAGGAGCTGCTGCAGCCACAATTCACGGAACACGACTCCGCCTCCTGACGTCACTCACTAGGCTGCACCTCTTAAAGGCACACATCAACTGAAATATCCTACAGTACTTTGTCTTTATAAAAACAAAAAAAAAACAAACAAAAAAAAAAAAAACAATTCTTTTCGATACCGCACTCTTTTTTTTCTTCATTGAAGAAGTTTGGGGCTGGAATAGATTCAGTTCATTTCAATGGGGAAAAAGAATATGACAGCATGTCACATGTTTTGGAATGTTCATTAAGCAATGCAGAATTTTCTTTTTTTTTTTTTTTTCTCGCTCTCTCTCTCAAGCGACCTTTTGGAACTGCGACAAGTCTCATTATTAATTGAAAATGTTTGACGGGGAAACATTTGCCGCTCTCCCGGTGGACTCTTTCTTTCTGTGATACTTGAACTTGTCCTGCTGTTTTGCCAAATAAGACATCAGTCCCATTGATTTTCCCCCAATTTGGCAGCCCCCGACGCACGGCCTCGCTTGGGAAGCATCTCCGGTCCGAGCGTCGCAACCCGTCACCATGGCGACTGGTAATTTTCAGCCACGGCTTAATCAGAAGTGGTTTGAAGTGGAAGGAGCTTTGCGGATGCCCGTGGAACTTCTTTCCTTCCTCACAAAGTTGTAGAGTCGTCGTTTTCAAAGAAAGGCTCGCTGGACACAGGCAACTGCAGAATTTGAAATTGTGGAATATTTTGGAGCAGACTGTAGCAATGGGCTTGGACTTGAACATGGACTGGATTTGGTTTCTAAGGTCGGATTTTGCAGTGCAGGTCCAAGCGGTGAATCACAATTGTGTGAATGGGGGGGGGGGGGGGGGGGGACAATTTCCATGGACACACATCCAACACGTCTGTGTTAACGTTAACGGAACACACGAAACAAGCCCCGTGCACAGACGGCCAACCCACACGTTAATAGGCTCCACTTAGCGTAGTTGAACTAGCATTAGCGCTAGCAACAGTTTTGCTCACTCCGGTAAAATGACTCCTACTGTGAAATGTTGACATGACACTTGCTCAATCTAAGCCTTTTTTTTAAAATTCTTTTAACCTGATGTGTGAGTGAGATTAATTATATTCATTTTGGTAGTCCCGGAGTTGGCGGGGGCATGTTGTTCATTTCAACAGCAAATTTGACAAATTGGATATTGTATCACCTAAGGGGTGAGAATGCAGACCTCAAGGAACGATTTATACTGTCCTGTAATCGCCACAGATACCACAAGTTGGTGGCAAAGCGTTACTTTTGTGTAAATGAAGCTCCTCAACTCACTGCAGCCCCAAGATGCCGCCAAATGGCACCGAAGCAATACTGCAACACTGTCCTTTTCCACGTTTTCTTTCTTTTTTTTTGTCCTCCTTTTAAAGCTGACAAAAAATACTTCCTGGGTCTTCCGTCATTCCGACTCTAGTGAAGCTGTCCATCAGTCACTTCGGCGTGCCCGCAGGTGCACCAGCGTGAGCCCAACCGAGACCAGTTAGAGCCCAATTAAAGTCCCATTAGTTTGCAGCTGCCCAGTCGAAAAATCCCCTCCCCGCTGTCTGTGCATGGTTATCAAATCGTTATACGCACGGCTCCATCGAGCTTCTGAGCACCTTCCTAATCCGGCGCACGGTTGCTAAATTGAAATCCGATAAATTAGCTACAGAGTTTCCTCTCTCCTGGGAGCGCAGAAATGCGGTTTGGCCTCGCGCGCGTCTGCAAATTCCCGCAGCTAGTGAGGTCGCCACGTCACCAACACGTTCTGGACATCTCTTTGCGCCTGAAAATGCAGGGGGGGCGGCGGCTATCCAAAATGGAAGCAACGGCTGCACCTCTTTGATGTTGATGAGACACATTTCAGAGCTGCATGGAGCGCTGTGAATTCTGATGAGATTGCGTGTCTGAAGACTTGGATGCAAACCAATGAGTCAGTATCAAAATGTCAATTTTTTTCCCTCTAGTTTGTTTTAGCACGTCGGACTCACGGTGCAGAGGTACGGGGTTCGATTCCGGCCGGCTCCGGCCTCCCTGTTTGCATGTTCTCTCGGTGCCTGCGTGGGTTTTCTCCGGGTACTCCGGTTTCCTCTCACGTTCCAAAAACATGCGCGGCAGGTTCATGGAACGCTCGAAATTGTCCCGAGGTGCAATTGTGAGCATGAATGGTTGTTTGTCTACGTGTGCCCTGTGAGCAGCTTAGCAACCCGTTCAGGGTGTGCCCCGCCTACTGCCTGAAGACTGCCGGGATAGGCTGCAGCACGCCCTCTTGGGGATTCGGATAATGAACGGATGGTTTGTCTTCAGAATCAAATCATGTTTCATCACGTGTGTTTGAGGAAAAAATAGGACAAAACGCCCGGTGGATTGATGACATTGTTGATCAACAAGTAGCCCCCCCTCCCTCCCCCCGAGTCGCCATGGTAATAGAAGCCATACTCGATGTTGTCCCTGAAGTAGAGGAAGTCAGCAGTGATTTGTTTCCGTGAGGCGGCCCTGCCCATCGAAACAGCGGCTGAAAAGTGTCGTGTCATCCTTCGTCTTTGGGGTTGTTTGGATGAAATAATTGAAATGATTTTCAGTGGACCCGTAATGGCCACCATTTGTGAAAATGGCGCTGGTCCACTGCGCGCATCTTTCCAAGATTTTGCACTTTTCATCCAGAGGTAGCGTGCTCACAGAACAAATTCAAGTGGTAAGTCAAGAGCGCTCACTGCAACTTGATTGGGCAGCCGGCGTCAGTGCTCGCCGCATGAATCGGGCCAGCAGATGATGAGGTAGCTTCCGAGACTCAAAAAGATGACAAGCCGCAATTTATTCCGGCGGCCCGTCTGCATACGAATGCGCCGGTGGAAGTGGACACTTTTTTTTTTTTTTTTGCATGCAGAGCACTGGCTTAGCGCCGCTCTTGTTATTTCCCACAGCGGTTAACTGGCTGACTCTGTTTGCGGATGGATTTGTCTCCGGCTCCCCTGCCGTGTCCGCCCTCATTGTTTCCTCAAATGCGGCTCAGACGCGCACATTACGGCCGCCTCATTAGCTTGCCGTGTACGCTTTCTTCATTTTTCCACTGCAAATACGAAACAGCTTTGGAAGAAAGCGCCATCGGAAGCTTTCTTCTCAAAGTAACAGATGATGATGATGATGATGATGATGATGACGTTTTTAGGTCATCGCAATGCTTGCACTTCCCGGTTTCCAGGTCCGGCAAATTTTCTTCTGTCTAGAATTCAAACGTATTGACAGAGATGGACGTAACGGGATCTCGATTTTTGGGACGGAGGACGAGAATTTTTTATTTTTTTAAAATTTTTAAAATGATGCACTAAGCAAGGACGGAAGTTGGTTTTCGTCCGTCCCTTTAACTCTTTCATTCCACAAGACGTACTTGTACGTCTTTTTAAAATTAGGCCGCGCTGACCAAGGACGTACTTGTACATCTTAGTCTTTTTTTTTTTGCATCACAGAGAGGAGGAGGGTCTGATGCAATCTGTGAATGAGAATAAGCCGTTTGCATTGTAAATCATGTAAAAAAGCGACCAGTAGGTGGCAGTGGTGCCTCACGTGATTGAAATGCATGTTTTTACAAAATGCTCTTTTTCTCCGTTTTTTTGCCCAGGAGTCGCCATTTTCATGAAATTTAGCATTTTGTCATGCCGGTTGCTGAAGAATGGAAAAAGATAGAAACAATTTTTTTGCGCTGAAAGAAGAGAGACCAAATTTATTTTGGTAGGCTCCATGTTTTCTAGCATTAGAAGCAAATATTCTGTGGGCCTTGCAAGATCAGTCAAAATCCAGTAAAACGCTGGGATTGAGGGGGCTGCTCCAGTGAAAATGGCTGGGATGGAATGAGTTAATCGTCCCTAACGGGGTTAAGTATGCGCCGCAGGGAGGCAAAATAACAAGGGCAGAGTGTAGCCAAACACGGCCTTTTCTCACCAGGCTATTTCATCGAAACTGTGTTTTAATAGCAACACCGCCACCTTATCGTCTCCTTGAAGCCGTGTCCATCCGCCGATGCCTTTTCATCCCACCTCTGCCATTAGCTGTCAATCACCGTCACGCGCTCAGGCCCATTTTCCAGCCGCACACTTTGATGCCCGACCATCTATTGTTGTCAGAGCTCGCTCTGTCGGGCGCGCACGCAGCATGTGCGTCTTGGGCTGGGCTCATTTCATGCTTGTTGAACTTGATGAACTGCGTTATTGATTTGTTGTTTTATTTGTGAGTAAAAATGGGGGTGGCGGCGGCGCCACTTTTCATTCGAGAAGAGGCTATTTAATTTTCACAGATGGTTAAATTCTGATCAAACCTTTTGGAGGGGAAAATGATGACTACCTGCCTCACTTAAGGGAGATGGAATAGCATATGCCTGAAAAGGCGTGCCTCAATTTATGTGAGTTATTCAATGTCGAACCTTAAACAGTTGACAAGTGTTTCCCAGCTATGGGGGGGAAAAAAAATCTCTCACCATTGGAGACATCTTCACCACAAAACACGGCAGCTGGAGAACTTTGATGTGTTTTGTTGGGTACATGGCTTGAATGAAGGCTTTTGCCTTCTCTCCCGCCATAGTTTGGAAAAAGATGTTACGTGACATAGATTGCTTGGGAGAAAGATGGAACGCTGAGTGTAACTTACATTTCGACAGGTATCGGTGCTGGTGTCAAATGCGGCTTCTTTCATTTTAGACGTCGGGCGAAAGTAAAGCCTTTCCGTTTTTCAAGAGCACTTTGAAAGAGTCATTCATGCCTTCGTCGCCTCTCGGCTGGATTACTGTCATGCACGTGACTTTGGCGTCAGCCAATCCTCCATGAAGCGTCTCCAGTTGGTCCAGAATGCCGCTGCTCGTCTCGCTGTGCAGTTGGTGGCCGGCGAGTTCGATCTGGAGACCAACTTCGTCATTCAAGAGGCGGACGGCATCGGCTGCCTGCCGGCTCTGCTGGAGCACTGCGACGTCGCCTGCCAGGCGGAGATCTGGAGCATGCTGACCGCCATGCTGCGCAAGAGTGTGCGCAACCTGCAGATGAGCACCGAGGTGGGCCTCATCCAGCGGCTGCTGATCCGGATCAGCTCGGTGGACGACATGATTGCAGGTGCGGCTTGTCGCTTTGCCTTTCGTATCTGGAAATACTTGGCAGAAAAATATGAGCTCAAAAATAGTCTCAAATCACACAAATATGAAATAAAAAATAAGAGCATTAGATTTCAGATGGAAAAATCCCTTCTGAGAAGAAAAGAAGAATTATTAGATTCAAGTCGGAAAAAATTTAAACATTTGGACTTACCAAACTGTTCGTATTGGAAGGAAACATTGTCAAATATCCTTCCCGAGTGTAAAAGCACTCATGAATGTGAGAAAACGATTGGATTTTTTTTTTTTGGGGGGGAAGAAAAAAACTACACAAATACTGCATGACAATAAAAACATAAGAGCAAACAATTCACTAACTTCTGACCCAGACGTATTAAATGACAGCCATGCCAATACGAGAAAATCCATTTTGAAACATTTTGTCCAAAATACACGCACACAAACCCCCCCCAGCAAAATCAAGGCCGTCTTGCCGTTTGCGTTATTTGACCGCGCGGCTTTGTTGCCTTTGAAGACTTGCTGGTGGACATGCTGGGCGTGCTGGCCGGCTACAGCATCACGGTGCGGGAGGTCAAGCTCCTCTTCAGCATGCTACAGGGGGAAGGCGGCCTGTGGGTGAGTGACGCCGAGCGCCGCCGCCGCCGCGGGCGAGCGCGCCGCCGCCGCCGCCATATCCACCGCCGTCTCGTTCTTCGACGCAGCCCAGGCGCGCCGTCAAGATGCTGGCCGTGCTCAACCACATGCCCCGGCGACACGGACCCGACGCCTTTTTCAACTTCCCCGGCCGCAGTGCTGCTGTAAGTCGTCGATCTCCCTTCAAAGCCCGCGCCACACTTTGCGTTTGCATCTCGTTGGATATTTAAAAAACTACGAAAAAAAATAGAACAACATTTAAATAGAATTAAAAGTCCAAAATCTCCCCAACGCACCCCACCAAATAGTCTTCCTCATTTCATTCACGTTTCCCAATGACAGTCCGTTCATCCTACAGCAAACAGAATCTCGTTCGGCGTGGTACGCCATCCAACAAACGTCTCATCAAAACGCACATTACGCGGCATTTCCCCGTCTTTAAGCAAATAAATCCCAGCTATCCATTATGCATCATTTTAGCGGTTCGCTACGTTCTTTCTTATATGAATAATAAATACAACCCAGATGTACAAATGACGCCAGCAAGGGTGAGATTTATTTCAAGACGGCTCAACACTTAATACATATTTAGCAGGAGGGAGGTGAAATTTATTGTACGGAGGAAGGCGTTATTTATTTCACAAAACGAGCCGGAGGGGCGGAAGATGAATGTTTATATGAGCTAAGCAAACATTATGCCTGTTTCATTGCCTACTTTCAGAAAGCTAAAATGACGCTCCCTGTTTCTCATCACCATTTGGGATGTTCGTTACCACACTCACCGATGGAGATACCAAGCAACCGATACCGCCGGTGCTTTTGAGACAGTTTCTATTAAACCTATGACAGACAATTTTCAAGAAAGACCTTTCATGTATTCATCCCATATCTAATAACCATCTAACATCCCTTTCATGGTGTCTGGAGGTCCTTTTTGAAGACGACATTGCCATCGAGCTAGGCTGGGCGCCACCGTAATGTTGTCTTTTTCTCTCCTCAGGCCATCGCGTTGCCTCCCATCGCCAAGTGGCCTTACCAGAACGGCTTCACGTTCAACACCTGGTTCAGGATGGATCCTTTGAACAACATCAACGTGGACAAGGACAAGCCCTATCTCTACTGGTGAGAAAACACACGAGCACAGCGGCGGCTTCGCACACGGGTGGGCCGACTTCAACTTGTTGGAGATAAGATTTTTTTTTTTTTTTTCCTTTGACTCGCAAGCGTGAACTCAGGGAACTTTGCTTCTGAATGTCGCGAACTGCTGGGTTTTGAAGTGCTCGTCGGTACTTTGTCTCATGTGATGCACATTGAGTTGCGCTTGTGTGTGTCTCAAATGTGCTGAATGAATAAAACTGCCTTGCATTGCCTATCACTCTATTATGAAATCCAAGATGATATTTGTTATACTAAAAGGTAGATGAAAAACATTTTGGGGGATAATGCGGGAACGGATCGATGCCGTCCATTGGTTCCAATAGGAAAGATGATTTGAGAGACACGCGTTTCAAATGGCGATGGTGGTCATGGTCACGGAACGGATTCAACGTGATGATCTCAACCAGGCGCCACTGGAGAGATCTTTGCCCATCCAGTATTCTCCCAGTTGCACTTTTCATGTTTTTCCTCCCCCATCATGCTAATTGCTTTAGCGTCGCATTCGAGCTCGTTCCCGCTGCTTTCAGGAGACCTGCAAACGGAGCAGCGCTGTCACGAACTTCCTGTTTGAAACCCCCCTGACCTCACGTCCGAGTAGATTAGGAGAACACGCTGTGTTTCGCCAAGGTCGAAATGGTCTTTCTCTGGCAGGATAAAGCCCACACCGTGTTGGGGGGAATATTAACAGACTTGCAATGTACATTCTGTCATACGATGTTGGTCCGAGATAGTCATTAAGTAGGCGTGTCCTTTGGTTGCTCTGGACCCGCACCTGGATCACGAACGTTTCATGGAAAAGATTTTCATCTAAGAGGTTTGGCCCGCATAAAACGAAGGAATATTGGCCAGGCTCTTCTATATTCAGGTGGCAACAGAGTGTGAGATATGTCAAGCTAATCTTCGCAGCTCGGCGGCAAGCCGTGTCAACAAGAGGAAAAGCGTGTTGACTTCAAAAGGCAGCCTTGGGGGTTGCTTTCTCAAGAACAGTCGTCGACGCTCCCGATGCGATAGGTGTGAGGCAACGCGGCAGTGGCGGCAATTAAAAAAAAAACAAAAAAAAAAAACTGTTTGCATTTTTTTTCCCTCCCGAATTTCAACGTGACGATATGCTCCCCTCCGTGCTGATTGAATTTATACCGGATGTTCCAAAAGTCTTATGTTCTTCCTTTCGAGGCTTGAAAATCCTCTTTTGGGTTTGAATAGATATTCCGTGTGGTCAACATGTCCCAACATTGACGTCAGAACGAAGAAAGGAGCAATATTAAAAAAAAAATCATTGAGCCCACAAAATATGTTGAATGTTACATGAAAAAAACACATGGAAAAAACTATTGACCTCACTGGCTACGCTCGCTTCAAAGGAATAAAAGTCCACCAATCTTCTAAACAGAAAAAAAACTGCACGTCTTTTTCTTTTGGACAAGCTCCTAACTTGTCTTTAAGTGACTAGTAAGTGCTTCAATGAAGTGTAACCGCTAACAAGTTTGCATTCATGTGGAGCAAAAAAAAATTAAAGTTCCCCTTCCCCTCAATGCATTTTTTTTTTTTTTTACCTCAAATGAAATACCTGAAAATGACCACTTGATATTTGACGTTCAACATAAAAGATTTTAAAAAAATGAAGGAAATATGTGAGAGTCGCATTTTACGGCAGCCACTGTATGCCCTTCCTGCTTTTCTATTTCTGTTCACGTTTCATTCGAACAGATGCGGGGCTGTCAACGTTTGACAGCTCAGGCTTTGCGGTTTTTGGAAGCATATCATTGCCTTGTCTCAGAGAGCGGTTGGAAAATCTGTCAGAAGGCGACCGAGGGTTCCTCCTTTTCACCTGATCGTCATCTCAAGAAGCGGTCTGAGGGCTAGCTCTGCTATTGGCGCGAGGCGACCCGTCGACCGCAGCCTAACATCACCGTGCTTCGGCACAGGTCGGTGTGGATGATTTCAGTGGGAGGTGTTCACCGAGGGCCGCGCCGCCGAAGATGGATGCCGGAGCTCGAAAGAGCGTGGGAGTAGCGTCGAGTCTATTGCAGAGTCGGCAGTTGCTTGTGCGCCTGAAGTCGGTCTGGGTTTAGTTGCTGTGTGTTTTATGCAGGTGTCATATTCCCTACGGAACCCCGAAGGTGATATGGAAGGAAAAAAAAAAACTTTTTTTTTTTTTTTGCGAGGGTCTCTCTTTTTTTAAATGCGCTTCATGTACTTCCAGGTCATCTTCCGGGCTAACTGAAAACAACAAACGTGGAGCATGTTTAATTGAATTTTACTTTGAAATACAACGACATTACATCTGTTCTTCAGTTTAAATACGCTTTCCAAGTACTCCTCCGTGATTCTCTCCTTCCGCGAAGTAGTGTCATCTCTCAATCAGACGTGCATGAGAGTCTACATGAGGCAAGCTAACCCTGAAGTACATAAATGCACAAAAAAAAATTGCCCTTGCAAAAAAAAAACAAAAACAACAAAAAAAAAAAGTTTACGTTATCTCACAATCTCTGCAAGGGAACACAAAACTTTGCGAGGTAATGCAAAAATTTGCGAGGGAACGCAAAGTTTTTTTTCACTTCCATGTCACCTTCGGGGCGCTGTAATTTCCTCATTGAAACTCGACAATATCACAGTGGAAGGTTTAGACCACAAGAGGATCGCCCGTGTTTGCTATGCCAACAGACTTTCTCGACATGCAGTCAATGTTCGGGTTAAGGTACAAATTCCGATTTCTGAAACACTCGGATAATCCATTTCCATGACAAAGAGTTATTCCCACGTTTGAAAAACACACCGACGTGATGACGCATTTGGGGTCATTTCCGCTTTCTCCTCTCTACCGCCATTATATTCATGTCACTCGCCACAGGAATAAAGCAGGACTTTTCTCCTCGCTTCTAAAGTGTGCCGCGTCTGAGTTTTGCCTTGTTTGTTTACCTCTGCTTGTGTATTTCCGGCGAGTTGCCCGCCAGACGCACGGACGCGTTTATGTGAGTCCGTATCCACGCTGTGCCGTTTTCACCGGTGAGACAGAAAATAACGTGAAAACGCCGAGGAGAAATCAACGTCTTCAAGTTAAGGCCGGCTGTGCCGATGATGCCCGCATACAAATACTTGCTGGACTCCAAAGACCAAGATTTCACGTGGATAGAAGATACTATAGCGAAATAAAGTACCTCGATACCGATACTGGACCAATCTCACCTTACAAACAGTACGAGTATTGGAATCATAGAAAACTGGATCATGCAATGAAGGATGTTAAATAAAAATATGTTGTATGATAAAAACTAATAATAAAAAAAAGAAAAATAATGTGCACAGGCCAGATTTGTAGCCTTGGTTGAAGTACTGCATAAAAATTGCTTCACAGAGGAAATATGTCCGTTATAAAACAGAGACGTGCGAAAAACCAACACACGTCCCATTTTTCCACACGGATTTACTGCTTGGACAATTCATAATAGCCTAGGTAAAAAAAGTAAAAACTAGGCTCGATAAAGCACGGTGGTGTATTGAGTCATTTGTGTTAACTTGACCTTTTTATAGGATATGCGGTATTTCTACAGCATATCCGAGTTCATTTGCTCTGCACGCTGAAACAGTCCATTCTTGTAATATGGTATCACGCCACACGGTGGCGCCTCTTTAATTTACTCTATCATTAGTTGGTCAACTGTTTCTTTCAACTTTCGGAGAACACTTTTTTTTTTTTTTGGCATAGACTCGATCAAGTGTACCCGACCGCTCCCACCTACCCCCCCCCCCCCCCCCAAAATCTCCCCAACGCACCCCACCAAATAGTCTTCCTCATTTCATTCACGTTTCCCAATGACAGTCCGTTCATCCTACAGCAAACAGAAGCTCGTTCGGCGTGGTACGCCATCCAACAAACGTCTCATCAAAACGCACATTAAGCGGCATTTCCTCGTCTTTAAGCAAATAAATCCCAGCTATCCATTATGCATCATTTTAGCGGTTCGCTACGTTCTTTCTTATATGAATAATAAATACAACCCAGATGTACAAATGACGCCAGCAAGGGTGAGATTTATTTCAAGACGGCTCAACACTTAATACATATTTAGCAGGAGGGAGGTGAAATTTATTGTACGGAGGAAGGCGTTATTTATTTCACAAAACGAGCCGGAGGGGCGGAAGATGAATGTTTATATGAGCTAAGCAAACATTATGCCTGTTTCATTGCCTACTTTCAGAAAGCTAAAATGACGCTCCCTGTTTCTCATCACCATTTGGGATGTTCGTTACCACACTCACCGATGGAGATACCAAGCAACCGATACCGCCGGTGCTTTTGAGACAGTTTCTATTAAACCTATGACAGACAATTTTCAAGAAAGACCTTTCATGTATTCATCCCATATCTAATAACCATCTAACATCCCTTTCATGGTGTCTGGAGGTCCTTTTTGAAGACGACATTGCCATCGAGCTAGGCTGGGCGCCACCGTAATGTTGTCTTTTTCTCTCCTCAGGCCATCGCGTTGCCTCCCATCGCCAAGTGGCCTTACCAGAACGGCTTCACGTTCAACACCTGGTTCAGGATGGATCCTTTGAACAACATCAACGTGGACAAGGACAAGCCCTATCTCTACTGGTGAGAAAACACACGAGCACAGCGGCGGCTTCGCACACGCGTGGGCCGACTTCAACTTGTTGGAGATAAGATTTTTTTTTTTTTTTTCTCCTTTGACTCGCAAGCGTGAACTCAGGGAACTTTGCTTCTGAATGTCGCGAACTGCTGGGTTTGGAAGTGCTCGTCGGTACTTTGTCTCGTGTGAAGCACATTGAGTTGCGCTGTGTGTGTCTCAAATGTGCTGAATGAATAAAACTGCCTTGCATTGCCTTTTACTCTATTATGAAATCCAAGATGATATTTGTTATACTAAAAGGTAGATGAAAAACATTTTGGGGGATAATGCGGGAACGGATCGATGCCGTCCATTGGTTCCAATAGGAAAGATGATTTGAGAGACACGCGTTTCAAATGGCGATGGTGGTCATGGTCACGGAACGGATTCAACGTGATGATCTCAACCAGGCGCCACTGGAGAGATCTTTGCCCATCCAGTATTCTCCCAGTTGCACTTTTCATGTTTTTCCTCCCCCATCATGCTAATTGCTTTAGCGTCGCATTCGAGCTCGTTCCCGCTGCTTTCAGGAGACCTGCAAACGGAGCAGCGCCGTCACGAACTTCCTGTTTGAAACCCCCCTGACCTCACGTCCGAGTAGATTAGGAGAACACGCTGTGTTTCGCCAAGGTCGAAATGGTCTTTCTCTGGCAGGATAAAGCCCACACCGTGTTGGGGGGAATATTAACAGACTTGCAATGTACATTCTGTCATACGATGTTGGTCCGAGATAGTCATTAAGTAGGCGTGTCCTTTGGTTGCTCTGGACCCGCACCTGGATCACGAACGTTTCATGGAAAAGATTTTCATCTAAGAGGTTTGGCCCGCATAAAACGAAGGAATATTGGCCAGGCTCTTCTATATTCAGGTGGCAACAGAGTGTGAGATATGTCAAGCTAATCTTCGCAGCTCGGCGGCAAGCCGTGTCAACAAGAGGAAAAGCGTGTTGACTTCAAAAGGCAGCCTTGGGGGTTGCTTTCTCAAGAACAGTCGTCGACGCTCCCGATGCGATAGGTGTGAGGCAACGCGGCAGTGGCGGCAATTAAAAAAAAAACAAAAAAAAAAAACTGTTTGCATTTTTTTTCCCTCCCGAATTTCAACGTGACGATATGCTCCCCTCCGTGCTGATTGAATTTATACCGGATGTTCCAAAAGTCTTATGTTCTTCCTTTCGAGGCTTGAAAATCCTCTTTTGGGTTTGAATAGATATTCCGTGTGGTCAACATGTCCCAACATTGACGTCAGAACGAAGAAAGGAGCAATATTAAAAAAAAAATCATTGAGCCCACAAAATATGTTGAATGTTACATGAAAAAAACACATGGAAAAAACTATTGACCTCACTGGCTACGCTCGCTTCAAAGGAATAAAAGTCCACCAATCTTCTAAACAGAAAAAAAACTGCACGTCTTTTTCTTTTGGACAAGCTCCTAACTTGTCTTTAAGTGACTAGTAAGTGCTTCAATGAAGTGTAACCGCTAACAAGTTTGCATTCATGTGGAGCAAAAAAAAATTAAAGTTCCCCTTCCCCTCAATGCATTTTTTTTTTTTTTTACCTCAAATGAAATACCTGAAAATGACCACTTGATATTTGACGTTCAACATAAAAGATTTTAAAAAAATGAAGGAAATATGTGAGAGTCGCATTTTACGGCAGCCACTGTATGCCCTTCCTGCTTTTCTATTTCTGTTCACGTTTCATTCGAACAGATGCGGGGCTGTCAACGTTTGACAGCTCAGGCTTTGCGGTTTTTGGAAGCATATCATTGCCTTGTCTCAGAGAGCGGTTGGAAAATCTGTCAGAAGGCGACCGAGGGTTCCTCCTTTTCACCTGATCGTCATCTCAAGAAGCGGTCTGAGGGCTAGCTCTGCTATTGGCGCGAGGCGACCCGTCGACCGCAGCCTAACATCACCGTGCTTCGGCACAGGTCGGTGTGGATGATTTCAGTGGGAGGTGTTCACCGAGGGCCGCGCCGCCGAAGATGGATGCCGGAGCTCGAAAGAGCGTGGGAGTAGCGTCGAGTCTATTGCAGAGTCGGCAGTTGCTTGTGCGCCTGAAGTCGGTCTGGGTTTAGTTGCTGTGTGTTTTATGCAGGTGTCATATTCCCTACGGAACCCCGAAGGTGATATGGAAGGAAAAAAAAAAACTTTTTTTTTTTTTTTGCGAGGGTCTCTCTTTTTTTAAATGCGCTTCATGTACTTCCAGGTCATCTTCCGGGCTAACTGAAAACAACAAACGTGGAGCATGTTTAATTGAATTTTACTTTGAAATACAACGACATTACATCTGTTCTTCAGTTTAAATACGCTTTCCAAGTACTCCTCCGTGATTCTCTCCTTCCGCGAAGTAGTGTCATCTCTCAATCAGACGTGCATGAGAGTCTACATGAGGCAAGCTAACCCTGAAGTACATAAATGCACAAAAAAAAATTGCCCTTGCAAAAAAAAAACAAAAACAACAAAAAAAAAAAGTTTACGTTATCTCACAATCTCTGCAAGGGAACACAAAACTTTGCGAGGTAATGCAAAAATTTGCGAGGGAACGCAAAGTTTTTTTTCACTTCCATGTCACCTTCGGGGCGCTGTAATTTCCTCATTGAAACTCGACAATATCACAGTGGAAGGTTTAGACCACAAGAGGATCGCCCGTGTTTGCTATGCCAACAGACTTTCTCGACATGCAGTCAATGTTCGGGTTAAGGTACAAATTCCGATTTCTGAAACACTCGGATAATCCATTTCCATGACAAAGAGTTATTCCCACGTTTGAAAAACACACCGACGTGATGACGCATTTGGGGTCATTTCCGCTTTCTCCTCTCTACCGCCATTATATTCATGTCACTCGCCACAGGAATAAAGCAGGACTTTTCTCCTCGCTTCTAAAGTGTGCCGCGTCTGAGTTTTGCCTTGTTTGTTTACCTCTGCTTGTGTATTTCCGGCGAGTTGCCCGCCAGACGCACGGACGCGTTTATGTGAGTCCGTATCCACGCTGTGCCGTTTTCACCGGTGAGACAGAAAATAACGTGAAAACGCCGAGGAGAAATCAACGTCTTCAAGTTAAGGCCGGCTGTGCCGATGATGCCCGCATACAAATACTTGCTGGACTCCAAAGACCAAGATTTCACGTGGATAGAAGATACTATAGCGAAATAAAGTACCTCGATACCGATACTGGACCAATCTCACCTTACAAACAGTACGAGTATTGGAATCATAGAAAACTGGATCATGCAATGAAGGATGTTAAATAAAAATATGTTGTATGATAAAAACTAATAATAAAAAAAAGAAAAATAATGTGCACAGGCCAGATTTGTAGCCTTGGTTGAAGTACTGCATAAAAATTGCTTCACAGAGGAAATATGTCCGTTATAAAACAGAGACGTGCGAAAAACCAACACACGTCCCATTTTTCCACACGGATTTACTGCTTGGACAATTCATAATAGCCTAGGTAAAAAAAGTAAAAACTAGGCTCGATAAAGCACGGTGGTGTATTGAGTCATTTGTGTTAACTTGACCTTTTTATAGGATATGCGGTATTTCTACAGCATATCCGAGTTCATTTGCTCTGCACGCTGAAACAGTCCATTCTTGTAATATGGTATCACGCCACACGGTGGCGCCTCTTTAATTTACTCTATCATTAGTTGGTCAACTGTTTCTTTCAACTTTCGGAGAACACTTTTTTTTTTTTTTGGCATAGACTCGATCAAGTGTACCCGACCGCTGTGCTCGTGAGTCGCGTGTGGTGAGGTTGAGGAACTGTTATTTTGTTGAGAATAAACAAACAGGTTGTTTGAGGAAACTCGAGAAGTCTTTGCTCCTCGGGCTGTCCGGCCGTACAGGTCCAGGATTGTTTCCTCCTCGGCTCACCCCACCACATGTTTCTTCAACAAGTTGTTGTGTACAGCATAAAATGTTCTCTTCAAGAATACGGCCCCCTCGTGTCATGAAGGAGCTCCGCTGTATCTGTTGTTGTACGCTAAAGAGCAACACACGCGGACGTCCAGTTGCTTCCGGTCTCCCGTGTCCTCATTACGGTATTTGTAATCAGACGAGAAGATAACGAGATAACGCTGCGGGCCAAAGGCTTGACGCAGAAATTACTCAAACAGCTGCGCCCAAGTTCCCAAAAGCCCGTCTAGGGGTTTTCGATTTATGTTTTTTTTTTGTGAAGCTGTTGGACTTTTGTTGTTTTATTGCCTTGTGGTTTCCGTGCCGGTTTTACGTTATCGTTCACCTACGAGTGGAAAAAAAAAAGAGCGGGAAGCGAGCATAAACGTATGATTGTCCATTTGTGCATCCAGTTTCCGCACCGGCAAAGGCATCGGCTACTCTGCGCATTTCGTCGGCAACTGTCTGATCGTCACGTCTCTCAAATCCAAAGGGAAAGGCTTCCAGCACTGCGTCAAATACGATTTCCAGCCGAGAAAGGTGAGGGCAGCTTTTGCTGTTTTTTTTAATGAGAGCCTCTCTGCGGCCCCTCGCTGGTTTCCAGAGCAGATGAAAAAAAAAAATGCAACAATGGGAGTTCTGACAACATATCAGCTCATCATTGATTGTTTTGCAACTCGGGTAAAATATCATTTGAAGCCAGTGAAGCGTCTAATTTGTAGACCGATGTTAAGACTCCACTTTTGGGGTGTCGTGTTGACACAATTGGCGTTTGTTATTCCGAAAGAACTAAAAAATACACATTTGTTGGCGAAGGGACGCCTCGCTACCTCTTCACTGGTGAATTTAATACCATCTTTTTTTCTGACTGCAGTCGCAGCTCTAAATGCAGCCAGATGGCCTTTTTTTAAACCAAGATGTATTTCCTTTGAAAATCTATTATTTATTTTTTACAATGTATCCAGCGCAGATCACAGAACTCAAGGAGTCAATCCTTTTTATACTGTATTACATCTTTATGTTTTTACAACTGTTAAGTGTTTAAACTGTATTATACACATAGTTGGCGGCCATTTTTTTTGGAAATGGTTACAATGAGCTCGCGTTCTAAGGTACGGATTCGTTATGTCCTTCGAGGTACGTTGTAACCAGGTTCGACTGTATGAGGAACTACTGTCATTTTTTTTCTCTTAAAAGATTAAATGCACGACCGTGCTCATTTTCTCCCTCAGTGGTACATGATCAGCATCGTCCACGTCTACAGCCGCTGGAGGAACAGCGAGATCCGTTGCTACGTCAACGGCCAACTGGTTTCTTACGGAGACATGGCCTGGCACGTCAACACAAACGATGCAAGTGCACTGCTATTTTTCTTCATGGGGCTGCCTCTTCTACAGCGCCCGTGTTTTCCTTTTTTTAATTTGAAGAAACGCGTCTTCCATTTGGGTCCCAAGCTTGAATATTCATATGCTGAACAGATGTGTTCGAGGGAAGTGGATGAGGGATGAACGCACATGCTGGGGGAGTTGGTGGCCAGTGGGCAAGATTTCCACTCTGCGGTCCATTTGCATGTTTCAGTGAGGAATAAACAGCTTCACGGTTACACTCTCAGGCATGGCACGTCGCTTAAATGATCGCCGTGCTTGATGGACTACTCCTAAGCATTAGCTACAGACATCACTAATATGAGGAGGAGGAGTGGGTTGGACAATCATCCTTTTTTTTTTTCTTTTGACTATTCAAAGTAAATCACAAATAAATATTCCGACTTGAGTGCAAATTCGGTTTCGGTCGGAGTAGTAACGTAACTCGCAAACCGAGGATCCCCGGCAATTTGGCATCTTGATAATGAAGTGCTGCCTCCACGAGTGAAAACTCCCTCAACACCTTTTACTTTCTTGATGGTGGATTATAATTCCCACTTAATTTTTTTAGAGTCAGGGAATCAAGAAGTCGCTCTGCCCATCATTGTCACGAAAACAAAAGCCGCGCTGACCCCACATTTGCATGAGAAGGTACTACTTCCTCCGAACACGTCGATCGCTGGTCGCAGCTACTTTTTCAGGCCCCAGGCTCAAAAAAAGGCACATTTCACCGAGGCTAAAACCTAATTGGGGGCGGGCTTAGGCAACACTCATTTGCATAAAACAACAATGCCTCATCAAAACGGGCGACTTTTCAGAAAACAAGAAGTAAAGCATGCTGTCATTCTTGATCCTTTGCTTATTTCGGCGGAATCACGTGACGGAAGTTATCACGACACGCCCGGAAAGTGTTTGAAATTGCGGCAAGCAGCACCTCGAGTAAAATCATGTTGAAAAAGCGCACTGAGAGAGAGAGGTCGTCATGGCAGCCGCTTTCGTTCTGAAAGAAATATTCCCCACTTCCCAAACGTCGACGCCGAGTCCTAATTTGTTCAAATGGATTTTGGTCCTTTCGGGAATCGAGCTCAACCGCGGAACATTTCATTTATCATTTTCTTAAGGTCAAAGTGTTGGCGACCTTTGGTCAGAATAGGAGTGAGGAAATGGGAGGTGCTCGGGAAGGAAATGAAGTCGACTCCATCATTGTTCAAAGTCAAAACCCCGATATTTGAAACGACGTCTCCTCCTGCGCTCGCTCGCCAGAGTTACGAGAAGTGCTTCCTGGGCTCCTCGGAGACGGCGGACGCGAACCGAGTCTTCTGCGGCCAGCTGGGAGCCGTCTACGTTTTCGGCGACGCTCTCAATCCGGCGCAGATCTTCGCCATCCATCAGCTCGGACCGAGCTATAAGGTGCGATGACCTTGTGGGTGGCCGAATTAGACCGCAAAAAAAAAAAAAAAAAAAAAAAACGAGTCGCTGGTGTCCTGCTGTTTGTGTGTAGCGTAGCCTCCGTCCCGGCTGGGGAACCACAACATGATACACGACATTGTGAGACGGGGGAGGGGGGATTTTATTATTTGCCTTGCATATTTTGGGGCATAATGTTGTCCAAGACAAAATAGTCATTTGTCCTTTCTTGCATTTTTGCTCCATGCTGCTTTTGCTTTTCAGATAGATCAAGCCACGACAGCGCACGCCGCCTCCATGTCATGTTAAATGAAACACCCGTCAAAAATGGATTTTCATCTTTTGTGAAGACCTCTTGAATTGGCTCGCCTTAAGACGATGTAGGTCGGCATCTATTCATTTACTCGGTAGCCTTTTTCACGGAGACGAACAAACATTCTGGCGCTATAACGTTCATCTTATGGTTAAATTAGGTTGAAGGTTTCTTTTTTCCAGACAATGTTTTTTTTTTTTTTTTTTATGGGGGTGAAGAGGAAAAGTTTTACCAGGAGGACAGTTTCAGTCAGTACTTCCTGGTTGACCGGGTTTGGGGAAATCTTCATAATAATGCCTTTAAAGGGGCGTGGCCAAGTGGGTGCCATCTGGAGCTCCGTTTTCTGGCTCCTGGTGGGCCGTTTTGCAGGTCTGCTGTTTTGACCGAAGATGTCGTTCAGTTGCTCAGGTGTCAGGGAGCGAACAATCCCAGCAAAGCTCTTTCTGGCTTTGGCCCAAAGACCCCGTCATGTCATTTTCAGTCGAGCAAGTCCCAGAGTTCCACCTTTGGACGAGTGAACGTATTGCAAAGAACAATGTTTGACTTGGACGTCGAGGACCGATTGTGATACAATGATCGTCTCGGATCGCTTTCCACTCCACCGGTGATCGAAATGCTGCCGGTTGCTTTCGCTCTCCCACTGACGCTTTCTATTCAGGAGCTGAGAATAAGTTCAGCTCTCAACAATGTATCCGAGCCGGTGCGCTAAATTGAAGGAGGCCGGCCGGTCAAGTGGTTCGGCAGAGGAGAGGCCTTTGATGAAGCGTGTCGAGGACCTTCCTTCCTTTTGTTTGATATCTGACACATGACGTCGCCGTTCATTTGATGTCATGTCGCGCTGAGGGTTGATTTGAATCGCAGTCTCCCAGAGGAGTCTCTGGTTTGGTGAACCCCTGCGGGCTCCTTTTCCAATGTCTGTTTTTCTAACCACGTTGACTAGTTTAGTTGTCTCATGCATGAACGCAACCTTTCTGCGAATCTATTGCTCCAAAAACTGCAGCTTGGCTTCGCTTTAGCTTTTGACTTGATCCAAACAATACACGTTTTCTTTGCAAACTCTTTGATGGTTAGCCAATGTCCATCGTCATTTGTCATTTTGGGCATCACAATAAATTCCACTTCACAGGTTCAGTAGGAGCCTAAGAGCGTTTTTTTTTTTCCCCCTCCTCTTTACTGCTACACGCATTAAAGCTTAAGCAAGAAGTTTCTGCTGTCTACCGACGCTTGTGTGCCTTGAAAGCTCCTCAGTCACGGGGAGATAATATCAAGGAAGGTTGCGTTGGCCGTATTGACACCGACAGCAGCTCGCTGTCGTCTGTCATCGCAGCTATTTTTATTCGCGTTAGGCTTCGCCAGACGGATCAGAACATGTGGCCTGCAGACGATTGTGTTGAGATTGCACAAATATATATTTAAAAAAAAAAAGCCCACAAATGATCTCCTGCTTATGTATGTTATTTGTTTCAAGGTTGGAGCGAGGGTGAATTTCAAGTTCTGGGACGCTGCCAGCCCCAAAGCACTGCCGCAAACTATTGCTCATTGCTTTGGCCGCTCAAAACAATGAAGCCATGACATGACGGATCCTCTCGCGAAGCGCTCAAGGGCTCTTTTCGCTTTATGGCGCTGATTGTTGACTGGATGGCGGATTGTCTCTACGTGAGCGCCGGATGCCGTAGACAAAGATGACCGAGTTTGAGTTCGAAAGAAATGGGGCGGCGAGACGCGAACTTGATTGCTCAGGCAAACAGATGTGGGAGGTGACGGGCAACGCTGCCGCACAGCTCATTTAGGCATGTCCTGGGGGCGGCGTGGATGCAAATTGATGAATTTAGCACACGCGCGCAATGTGGTTTCTCAACTTGAAACAAATTGCAGTGGCTTGTTTTGCATCTTGAAATGCCGCGTCTGCCTAGCTGGCAAATTGAGGCGGGGACTGAAAAAAATCGATGTATTCCGCTTGTGTCAACGTTTTTTAAAAGCTCAGTCCACAAATTGATCTTAACACATTGTCAATTGCTTCTCCGTAAACAAACACAGTTCAGCTAAACCTCTGGCTAGCGGATGACATGGCTAGCTATAGCCTTAGTCAGTTGTTTTATACCGTAGAAAGTCAGACTCCTCAAACTGCCTGCCTCGAACTGACGCTGCATTTTTTTCTTAAGGGGACAATATTGCACTTGCATAAAACAAATCAGTAGTAGTTTCGGGGGGGGGGGGGGGGGGTTTTTCACTCTGT